TTTCTCCATCTTTGAGGTGCCAAACAATAACCGCATTTGTAGAATGTTGTCCTATAAGGTCATGTTTGAAGGGATAATCTATGTTTTTCTTAATGGTATAAACATGGAACCAATCAAGAAATGGTATATTGAGTTTAACACTATTGAGGAAATTATAGTCAATCTCCTGAATCTCAGTCCTCTTGAAACCTTGATAATTTTTCAAAAACCAAGATCTTTGGGGTTGGTTTTCCTCCAAAGAACATTCTTTTCAGAGGCCTTCCTTATCAATTTGGAATTCAGATTATAAGTTGGAGATTGGATAGAATTTTGGTCATCCTCCTCATTGGATTGGTAAACGGCTCTTGAGATGGATGAATTGTTTCTATTCCTCGAAGGTTAGTATTCGGAATAATTATTCTAGGAATAGCAGTTGTACTGGATTGTGATGCTATAGAAAAAGATCTTCTGGCAGAAGTGTATTCAGATCTCGTAGCTTCGGTTCTTGAGGAAAAGGAATTTCTCCTATCAAAAATAATCTCTAAATTTCCTGATTCAGACTGCCTAATTTCTTGGAATTCAGGTGTTTGTCTAGGTAAGGTAGGGGTTGCTCTTTCTAATTACCACGAGGTTGTAAGTTCTAACTCATCCCACTTTATGAGTTTAGGGAAGGCCACATTTGCTTTTGTCATGTCAGTAAAAAATAGGGTAGTTTCCCTATCATTCGTTTTAAGCATAACTCTTGAATTACAAGTGTTCATGACTTTGTATTGGATTCTATTCAGAAGGGCTGCAGGGATAGATCCTTCTTTCATATTTAATCCATGTAATCTAATATTTAACAATAATGAATCTAAGACATTTCTATCTAAAAGACTCACTATTTTATTCAGGAAACAATTAAAGTACACAGGACCATGTCCTAGACTTGTTTCTACAATTCCTATAAGGGAATCCTGAAATTCATTATGCCTAATATCTAAGACACATTAAGATTGAAGCATTTAGTCATATGGAGGTATTTATACTTCCTAGCATGCTCAGCAACAGATTGTTTTGTAAGAAGGTGGAACTCCTCACCAGCTTGTGGGTCAAGAGGTATATTATTTTCTGCAATCTTAATAATGTAATCAGAACTGCGGAAATGTTTGGTTTCATCCGGGATGTATAACTCATCCAGGGCTATTTTGGGAATTTCCCAATTATCAATGGCTTGGTTGATATCCTCAAAGAAAACTTCTTCTTCAAAGATATTTTTTTGGGGGGGAATTTCTTCCGGAGCTATATATATATATATTGATACTATATATATATATATATATATATATATATATATATTGTATGAACAACATTAACAAGAATAAAGAGAGGATTATCACACTTTGCTGGTTTAAAACCAAAAGTGATCAAAGTAGAAGCTAGCTTAGCAAACCAAGTGGTAGGAGTCTATTTAAGACCATATATGGCCTTTTTAAGCCTGTAAACAAGAGTAGCATGTTGATTATTAAACCCCTTAGGTTGTTTCATATATATATATATATATATACTCTTTTAATGAACCATTTAGGAAAGCATTATTGACATCAATTTGTCTTATTGGCCAAGCTTTCGTAAGAGCAATAGATAGAATTATTCTTATAGTTACGGGTGTTGAGTCAGATGAAGCCATTCCCAGCGAGGTTTTGAACATGACAAATATAATACATATTGTTAAGACTAATCTATGTGTCAGTGTTTTAGATAAATATAAGACACATGCAAAAATAAAGCATGGACGAACAAAACAAGGATCAAACAAAGCCAAATGAGTGCCAGGTGATAACAAATATCAGACGAAGATGTGTCAAGGACAACCCAGATCGCAACATAAGAAATCAGACGCAAGGCTAAAACAAATATCAACCAAAGAGCAAAACTAGACCAAGACAAAGTTGGCTCGGCACCAAATAAACATCAGATGAAGCTCAATGATCAACTACACAAAGGTCAACAAAACAAGCATCAGTCATTGGATAACACAAGACGAAGAAATATTTCAGACGGAAAAAAGTCATCCATCTTCACGACTGATCAAACAAGATGAAAAAGTCAAAGTCTAACTTTTAGTCTAAGACTCATATTCCAGACTCAAACGAAGAATGTTGAGAAACGTCTGAAGTCCACTATTCACAACAAGGAACATCCCATATCGTCCATATTCACAAGAAGAGTACACGAAGTCGTCAAGAATGTGATATGAAAGAAGAAAAATAGAAGAGCGCGAATCCATAAGTCAAAGTTGTATGTGTTAGGGCAAGTACATCTACTTTTCAGAAAAAGGCGACGCCTCCGCAGCTACAATGACGGAAAAAGGACAAACATACCTAGGTCATGATTGCAGTCAGAAATAAAAAGGAACAAATTATGAAAAAGACTTCACGTAACACAGATTCAGCAAGCAAGCATTTAATGCAAGATCAAACGCATTAAATGAAATAGACTTTTGTAGCCATGAACGAACGATTATCTGAACCAACGGGAAGCTCCGCCTCAACGGACACATTCAAATTCAAACAATGGGTAGTTTATCACAAGCCTATAAATATCAAGACCTCAGAAGAAAAAATAAAGAAGCAACAAACAATAAGCAAAAGCAAGCGTCAAAACAAACTTACATCTCTTCTTGTTCAAATTTGAATATCAGTGTAAAACTAAGATAGTTTATCTTAGTGAGTGTAGAAACTACCCCATCCTCTCTGCGAGAGTTATATACACACTCTAAAACACATATCCTTGTAAAACTAAGGTTGAAAACCTTAGCGAGTGTAGAAACCATACTATCCTCTCTGTGAGAGTCGCACACACACTCAAAACATTCATTGCTTGTAAAGCCTGAAGAGGCTAGTAAAAGAATACTTGGAGAACCAGAAGTGGTTTAAAAATACTAGCGTCGACAAGTGAATTTGACGAACCAGGAGTGGTTGAGAATACTCGGAGAACCAGAAGTGGTATAAGAATACTAGCATCGATAAGTGAAGTTGATAAACCAGAAGTGGTTAAGAATACTTGTAATCCGTTGTGATTAGTGGAACCCTTCAGTTGAAGGAGAATGGACGTAGCTCAGGATGAGTGAACCAGTATAAAACTTTGTGCATTATTATTTGTTTTAAAAATGCAGTTTTATTTACATTGATATATCACACTGAAAAACTTCGTCTACTACTTATTTTCCAAATGAAATTTAGACGAAATTATATTTGCTTGAGTTAAGAAACTATTCTCGAGTAGACGATAGATCTTCAGACGTAGAGTTTCTCTTAACCAATCTTGCACAATCTCTAAGTGCTTGAAACATTATTTTCAGACAAAAAGAAGCCCCTTTGCGAAAACGTTTTTAAAATCCTTCGTTCACACACATTCAACCCTCCCTTCTATGTGTTTTCCACTAAACTTCAACGGGTTTTATAACTAGACTAAAAGTTTCTATATAATCTAGGCCTTCTTGTTAACTAAAACACTTAGCCACAAGTCTAGCTTTGTGTTTAGATATTGTTCTGTCAAGTTTGTATTTTAGTTTGAATATCCACTTTGATCCTATTGCTTTCCGATGTTGTGGTAAAAGGACTAAATCCCATGTTTCATTTCTAGTTAGAGCAAGCTACTCTTCTTTCATCGCATTAAACCATTTTGTATAGCTAAAGCAACAGTACTAGGTTCAGTTTCAGCAATGAAGACTCTAGGTTTGAATATACTAGACTTGGACCTAGTTATCATGTTGTATGGTCTTAAATGAAGGGGAAAAAAACACAACCAAATGGCTTAAAGAAAGTATAATTAGAAGGCTTATGAAATAACATTTCAAAAGGGGATTTCCATTTTATTATAGATGAAGGTATTATATTTATGACAAAAATTTTTGCAGCAAAAGCATCACTCCAAAATTGAAAAGACAAACCAAAATCGGTTAATAATGTGAACCTAGTTTTAGTCAAGTGCCTATGTTTTCTCTCAGCTGAGCCATTTTGTTCATAAGTGTATGCACAACTAAATCTATGTTGAATATCATTTTGCTTGAGAAATTTAGAAAAAATAATGTACTTTTTGCCTTCGTCAGTTTGTAAGGCTTTTATTTTTTTGTTTAACTAAAGTCCAACCATATTCTTAAACTGAATAAAACAATTTAGAGCTTCAGACTTAGTATGCAAGAAATAAAGCCATGTAAACCTTGAAAAGGAATCTACAAATATTATATAATACCTGAATCCATCTCTACTTGGTGTGGGTGAAGGGTCCCAAATATCATAATAAATCATTTCAAGAGGGCCTTTGTAAACAGTGTTGGATATTGAAAAAGGTAATTTATGAGATTTACCAATACAGCAAGATGAGCAAACAAATGGAATTTTATTCTCAGAAACAGAAATATTACAAGATTCCATCACACATTTTAATACTTTAAAGGAACAATGTACTAGCCTAGAGTGCCAGATTGACACATCATTACAAGATACAGTGTTATAAAGAGCAGTGACAAATGCCCGATGGTTTTACAAATTTTTTGTGTGTGTGTGAATGGGCCGAAGATCATCAAAGACATATAATCCATCTTTAAGATGCCCTTTGAGAAGCACCATCTTTGTTTCCTAAGATTTTACAATGCATTCACTAGGATGAAATTCTACAAATACCTTGTTATCATTAGTGAATTTTGATATACTGAGCAAATTCTTTGATATGATAGGAACATACATGATGTTGGGCAATGAAAAAAAATATATTTGGTTTGGCAATATCCATTTTAGAATGTCCTATATGAGAGATTAAAAGGCTATTACCATCACCTACAAGAACACGTTGCATACCTTAGTACTCTTGTTTTGTAATCAAGTTGGAAATGTCATTTGTCAAGTGATTGGATGCTCCTGAATCCAGGTACCACGTGTCATCTTCTTGAGCATGAAGAGAAGAGGCCAACATAGCTTCTTGTTGACTCTCTACAGTGTTGTGATTCGTTGTTATATTATATTATGTGGCTGGATCAGGAAGATCCTCATCAATTCGTCTCCAGCAATGAAAAGTCGAATGTCCATTCTTGCCACACAATTGGCACTAAATCTTGGGACCACGTCCTCTATTTTTGTATCTTGGCTTTGCAAAATGGCCTTTTCCTCAATTTTTTCATCGACTAAAGCATTTTCCTCTTGTAGAGTTTGATCTTCCCCTCTTTGGCATTCCAAAATTTTGGGCAAGATTTACTTGAATCGTTTCAAATTCTCTTTGTTTGTGAAATTCAAGCCTCTCTTCTTGATGAAGCAGGAGAGCTTCGATCTCAAGAACCGTATAAGGTTCGTTCCTCGTTAGACACAAGGTTTTAAGAGGGTCATACTCCTCCGACAATCCTTCGAAAATAAAATCGATGTGCTTTTTCGAAGACACCGGAGAGCCAATCGCTGCTAATTTTCTCGTCAATTGCTTTATCTGCAATAGGTACTGACTCATCATTCCCGTTTTACAAACATTGCAAAATTGAATCTTGATCTGTTTGACCCTTGCCTTCATTTGGGAAGTAAAATACGCTTTCAGTACACTCTAAATCTGGTAACACCAGGAGCACCCTGCTTCTCGAATCTTGAATAAGGATTCCATGGATTCTAACATCCATGATTTGAGAAGAGAATCTTGTTGTTCGAAGTTCTCAAATAGAGGATTAACTCTATTTTTGGTTTCATCTTCCTTCGATAGGAATTCTTGAGGGATCGCGTCTGCATCGATGATGTGTCGCTTCAATTTGTGACCTTTAATCGTTGATTTGGCATGTTCAAACCATATAAGGAAGTTATCATCACTCAATTTGGTGGAGATGGAAGAAGAAAACGTTTGGGGAAGAAAGGGTTGCGATATGGAAGCTTCTACCATAGCCCTAAGATTCGAGAGGCTATACTAATACTTGTGAAGAGAACAAAACTGAAGAAGAAATTATTATTGATATTCTAAAACAGATACAAATATGAGTTTATAAAGCTAATAACAAAGTTTGTTATAACAGAAATGCCAACTAATCTTGATCTTGACTAATATCCTTTATACTCACAATATATATATATATATATATATATATATATGTGTATATATATATATATGTAATAATTACCAATATTACTAAATTCAAAATATTTAATTATCACAAATATAGTAAATAATAATAAAATAAATATTAGTCATCTCTTATTAATAAAAATAAAATATCAAAATTTTTTATAAAATACATATATTATGTTTTATAAAAATAGGTTGTTACACATTTATGTGAAATTGAGATTGAATTTGAGTAATTGATGGTATAATAAAGTAATATTAGGCTTTAATCTTAGTTTTTTCTGGTTGGATTAAGAGAATAGAGTTTGGATGTGAGTTGTGCCAAGTTTTGAAAATTCTAGTAAGAACATACCTTGGTATTTATGAGATTTATCTATATGTGATTAATGAAATTGAGTTTCAATTATTGGGTTAGAAAGTACATATTTTGGGCTACAGTTTAGACTCAAGAATCACATAAAAATATTAAGAAATGACCAAGTTATGTGAGTTAAAATATGAACCTTATATTTTGTGCGTGAAATGTAACATGCCTACATTATAAGCCTTTCAAGTAGACTTAAAAGATAGAATTAGGTTTTAAAATCTTCATAAAAGTTTTATCCCTGAATGTTAGCTTTCAAATTCCGTTAGAATCACTTATAAAGGAGTTATATAACTCAAGTTATGATTAAATTAGTGAGCAGAGATCAAACTGTCAGGTTTAGGCTAAAATGTTGTAGTTTTGTGTTTTTTAAAAATAGTAGGTGGCATAACTAGCTCTTGGGGTCAACATAGAAATTGGAGGTAATTGTCTTGTATTTCTAATAAAATAAATATCAACTTGATATCATATATATAGCTCTAGATAAGAGTTTAGATCACACAATGCCTTAGAATGTTAAGTTGTGGAAATGTCGTTTGTGAGTGAAGATGATGAATAACTTCACTTTTTAAGTATTTTATCTTATGAATGGTTTGAGGTACTTATATCAATGTTTAGGAATGATATGGTAGAAAACAATTGTTAATAGATTATGATGTCAATTGATTGTTAATAACTTGAGGTGTTTTAATGATAATGATGTCTAAGGATTTCATGTGTGATAGTGATAAAGTTGCTAGAGTAGTTAAGCTACTGATTTAAATTCTTAATGACATTGATCTTAGTGACTATGGTTGAGGTGCTAACATATGATTAAACGATCTCATAATTATTCTTACTTGAGGTTATTGGATGATGTTGTGTAATCATTGTATTACTTAATAACTGGTTGTAGTGTGTGAGTATGTCATTGATATGACATATTGTGAGCTATGTATGAATTGATTGATATGCATTGACATTGATGCATTTGATGTGTATGGATCCGGGGAGTATCATATAATGAGAAGTCTAAGCGAGACTTACCTATGATATGATATGATAAGATGTGTGATGTGTTATGGTATAAGACCATGTGAATGTAATGCATAGAGTCTATTTGACATGCATCATATGCATTGACGGCAAAGGTAGGAGGAGTGAATGTTGTTCTTCTCCTATTCTTCACCTAGGCACGGATCTTCTTCAAGGAGCTTGGAAACCAAAGTGATGAACACTAGATGGAGGATGATTCTCGAATAGGAGAAGGCTTAAGCCTTGGATGGAAGCATCCAAGCTTAAGGTTCAAGAGATTGCTCACTTCAAAGTGTAGGAACTAGGGAAATTCCTAAGGTGTTTGAAGGCATTCTCACGGTGACTCTCAAGAGAAAATTGGGCTGAATAAGCTCTCCAATTTTATTAATCTCAAAAGTGAGTACAATGAGGGAAAGAATCACTTAAGTATGCACGGATTTGAGTAGTATTGGAGCCTAAACAAGGTTACACAAAATTGGCGCCTAAAGTTTGAATTCAAATTTGAAATTTGAATTCAAACTTAGGTGCACATGTGAAAGTCCGTGGGTTTAGGTGTCTAATGCATTTAATTTAGATGGCATTTAGGGTTGTATTTGAGTAAGCACATGTTCAGCCACTAGTGGTGAGGAACATGTGACTCAAATGCAACTTAAATGACTTCCAAATTAACCCTAATTTAACCTAATCCGTCCACTTAAGTATTCTTTGTATTTTCCTATTCTTATGGCCTAAATACAATGGCCAAACAAATACAATGGAAAGGAAAAATTACAAGAATGAAAATGAGCCCAATATTGGGTACCAAAAGCCCAAAGGCCCACAAAGCCTAAAAACAGGCCCAATAAGCCTATGGCCAAAAAATGCTAATCTATGTGGTCCAAAATACAAGACCAAAATATGTGAAACCTATACTAATAGAATATGTACAAAATATAAGAAAAAGGATTTATCATGATAGGCCCATGAGAAGCTCAAATTGGGTTTCCAGGCCCATCGGCCCATTGGGCCTTGGCTGGCCCAAACATCCATGCCTAGCCCACTCCTCTTGGATCTTTTAGGTTATCACCTCTTGCCTTCCTAAGCATGATTCCATCATGCATAAAATATTTTTAAAGGGTACATTATGAAATACACTATCAGGAAAGGTCCCTTGTGTAAAAAGCTTGGGAACCAACCTTCAGCATAACTCGATTTGGAAGTCATAGTCTTGCCCTCGTGAGCATGAGATTTATCTTGTGCGGCTTAGTTATCTTGACCAAACCCTAGTAGTATCTCCTTCTAGTGAGAGTGTACAGAGAGTGTGACCTGACATGTACTCCTAAACTACTCTACGTGAATTGTTAGTGACAATGCACAAGTGTGATATGTGATATTTTTTATTGGCGTCACATGCATGATAACATCTAATTTGTGTCCATTGCATAATGCATCTTAATATTATGTGGTATTTACTTATTATATTTTAAGTGAATGGAATATATTATATGATCGATATGTTTATGTTATGTTGATATATGTCTTGTTTGTATTTGCTTATCTACCTACATCTTACGTCGTGAGTAAAGTGAGGTATTTCTCGCTTCCCTTATTTTGTGTTGCTCTTCTTATATGTTGTTGCAGGTGATCTTTAGCATGATATTGAGGATGTTGGTGACAAAACTTAGTCATCATAGAAAGGTTATGCTTTGATAGGACACGTGACATCGGAGAATTAGTTAGGACTAATTAGAATTTGATTTATATTATTTAATTTGAGTAGTTTAATTTTAATTCCTTTGTAATTTAATATTTCTACTAAATTTAGTTTATGTTAAAATGTAATTCTCTCTACCTGTATAATTTTGAGCTTATCCATTATATTTTCGGTTATTCAGATATTTAATATATTATGTGTTATGACATGCAGGGTAGAGTGTGTCACAAATATTGATGTTTGTCTATAATTAATAATTAATATAATTATATCTTGTTAAATTATATTATACTTTTATGATTTTCAATATTAATATTAATAAGTCACATATTTTTACATAATTATTAAGTAATATAATTAATATTTTGTTATGGTTTTATATTAATATTAATATGACCAATAAATACAATAAATTAAATAAATATATGATAAATTTATTATATTGTGAATAAAATATAATATACATGCTAAGTAAACAAATCTTTACATACGTGAAATTTTTTTGTGTGAATTTTGTGTACGTAATTTTTTTTTTTGTTAATAATAGTTAAATAAACTAACATAATATTAGCATTTTTATGTGAATTTTTTTTGTTTACTTGTGATGTTTACAAACCTAATAATCTTTTTTTTTTCATTGAAACAAATGAAAAAATAAAACATAATAAAAATAATAATGAAATATAAAATTTAACAACATAATAAAATAAGTATTATCCGATCAAGATAAATAGAGATAAACATATGTAAGACTATAGAAACACTACAAGAAAAATGACTTATGCCTACACACAAAAAATGTCACTAAAAATCTAAATTCCATAGGTAAAGGTATCATGGACTTTGACCTACGGACATTGAAGTTGTCAACTTTGAGGGGGCATATAGGGACAACTAATAGCCTATCACTATAAGTTTTACCTACAGACATAATTTTACCAACAATTACATTTGACTGTCACTATAGGAGATACCTACAATTTGCAATATGCGTGGGTAAAAGTCATTGAGTTATATTTACACCCCCTACTATAGGTAAACACCATTAAGTTGTACTTACATGTTATGACCGTAGGTAGGTAAAAGTCATTAACTCATTCTTACATGCTCTGACTATAGGTAAAAGTATTTATATATATATATATATATATATATATATATATATACATACATACATACATATATGTATATATACTTTGCCCATAACTGCTATAGTATTTGCTCATTAAACAGTGCAGTAATATCTTATGCAGTTTGATCTATAAAATGTGTATGAATTATTCATCCTTCTATTTTCATGATGAAATTGGTCATACGTGCAGGGTTGGGTTATAATCCGCGATACGCTTCCCTTGATAGAGTCAGCTAGAGCTCTAATAGCACAACCAATTTACCAAATTGAGAGTGGGATATGCAAGAGTGATAGAAATTGAAAGTGACAGTGAATAGAGACTCTTGGCTATTTATAAGTATAATCTCAGTATAAATAAAGACTTGATGTGGTTACATCTATAATCTCCTTAGAAGTTGATTTTTTAAAATCCAATCTTTAAAATTTGATACAACCAATTTCATATTTTATAGTACTTGCCAAAATTTATATAATTCAAGTACAAGACTTTTAGACAAAGCTAGTGATCAACTATAATAAATTGTCATAAAAATGGTGGTCAAATAAATATGCCACTGAACTCTTAATAGTAAACACAAAAGCAATATACCAAATAAAATTCTTACAATTACAGTAGCAGCTTTTTCTGTAACAATGCTTCCATTTTGTCGGGTTCGAGTGTTTATATAAATTTGTGCTCGAGAAGGTTGCACTCCTTTAGCCTTTATTGTCTAACATTAGTCACAAAAATATCAACCATTATATTTCTAGCTACTAATTTTTAAAAGATGAAAAGAAATATTATCAAAAGAGACAAACCATCTCATGAACTAGTCTCGAAAGATTCTTAGTTCCCATGCAGTGTAAGTCTTCATACTTCGAGCGACTCCTTTTGTTGATGTCACTTATTTTCTATAACCAATAAATATAAAAGGTCAATAATAAAAATCAGCATATGACATATAAGTATTATATTAACTATAACTTAATAAGATATACCCGCCCTTTCTCAGAACACCAATAATGTAGCAAATCACGATATTGAGAAGGATCAACCCTTGAATCAGGAATATGAGAAAACATTTCCTCCTCAGTTTGACTCTCATCATATCCTTTTGATTTCAAATCATACTTAAATTGCCTCCACTTCATACTCATGTTATCCTTTAGTACTTCCTTTGCTTGTTCAGTCAATTCAGGAACAAATTGAAATTTACTCTACGTATCATTAACAAAAAAACATGTTAGACTTATTACATACATAACTTTTACAAAAAATAAAAGGAAATAGAAGTTATAAATTTTATACTAGACCTGAATCAATTCAAGCATATTAACAATATAGTCCTCAGGCATGTCCTTCCAGCTAAGATAATTGATAGGAGCACATTGATGTCTCCTTACCAAGCTCCCTATTGCATTTAATAAAGTTTTCCCTTCCCAACCCATGGGATTACCCAAAGGATCTACTTCAACAAGTATGAATTCTCCATCTGGCATGTCCCACACATCTAACATATGTGTATAACCTCTAGTCTTCTTTTCACCTAAATCAACACAAATATATGCTAACCATAGTACATATACTTCCTATTTGAACTTCAATTTTATTGCCATTAACTATTATTTGATATTTCAATAGTTGGCATTCTCATATCATATTACCAGAACCATTTCACTACTACATATACAGGAAGAAACCTTGTAAGTTCCAGAAATTACAAAATTATGCAATTTCTGTTGAAATTATAAACCATAACAACATTATGTCATTCCTTTTTCTTTTCCTTTCCAAGCAACCGTTCCAAGGAGGCAATTACCGAAGCTAACCAAATTAATTTTTTTAAAACTGTTTTAAAATAGTTACTTAGAAGGAATGTATAACAAATTTTCCGGATTATAATAAGGAATAATGTTTTAAACTGTTCTTTTTCAGTAATCCAACCTATTGTGTGGTATTTAAAATGATAAAAATTCAGTCAGTCTTCATTTAAATTTATCATGTTCCAGTTACACATTAAATTGTTAAAAATTAAATATAAAAATATAGAAGTGCTTCACAGGTTATTTTATTAACCACGGTGCTTTGGATTTAGCTATTTCTAGAGTACTAGATTTTAAAAACCTGCAGTAATATTGATACTGAAAAATAGAGAAAACAAAAATCAACCCCACAGGTCAGCCACATTTAAACTGAGAGAATCCATTCCCATTTGAAATAGCAGACTCGGGTTATAACTTAATTTGTATTGTCATTTGCCAACTCATCAACAAAATTCCATTAATAAAATCTGCATATAATCAACTTTTGAAAGTTACAAGTGTTTTAAATTCAAGCAGAGGAATGCAGAGGAATTCAACTGTGGCACTGATGGTAAAGTTATATGACGACATTCTAATTGTAATCTACAGAGGAAGAATTCAAGAGTGAGAAGATATAAAATACCTATTAATAAACTGGTGAACGTTCGAATACGAGATCTGTGAGTGCTTCTTTGACATCTGTTAGCAAACTCAGTGTATCAATAAACAAATCTTACATTAGATTCAAGAAGAAAAAGAGTACGAGATAAAATTCGAAAGTAAAGCGCAATGAAGTAGAAGATGTAGGATTATATGAACCAAAAACCTAGATTAGAAGAAACAAATAAGCTGTAGGAGATTCATGATGAAAAAACCTGTGAACGGAGACATGATTCGAGAATAGAGACGAGCGAGGAATCGGTGCGGAGCAATTCAGAACGAGAAATCAGGTTTTTGAATTAAATAGATTATATAGAACTGTGTATATGCTGTAGCTTTTGGGGTTGGGTTGGGCGGCTCTGATGATGGGCCTCACCATACATGGCCCTTTTGCAATAGATACTTCTGCAATAGATACTTCTGAGTACTTCCTTTGTATTTTTTTATTTATTTTCTTTTTGTTGTAAATACTTCTTTCTAGAAATCAGGTTTTTGAATTAAATTTTAACATTCTAAAAACTATTTCAGAATTACATTTGGGTTGCGATTAGGAATGATCAAAATTTTTCTACCCTACAAAAAATGGTGAAAAAAATACATTTCGGGTTAGTATTATTTATATATAATTATTTATTTATTTTACATGGATTTTTATTTATATTAAATAACTGTAGGTATAAATTTTGTAAATTTTTTACCTACCTAAAATAGTAGTAGGCATAAGTCTTTTAGGCTTTTACCTACATTGACAATTTGTTGGTAGAAAAATTTTAAGTTGTATTGAGTTTTGCCTACACCAAATAAAAGTGGGTATAGATTTTTGAGTTATACCTACATTAAATATTTGTAGGTAAATTTTTTTTTAGTTTTACCTACACTAATTCAGGTCTATAGGTAAAAGTGTCTGTAGGCACAAGTTATTTTTTTTTGTAGTGAAATATTTCTATAGTTGTATCCCAAGAACAACTATAGAAATATTATACACAAGTTAAGTCTTCATTCAATTTTTTCAATAAGAATGGTAGCTATAAAATTTGTCATTATTGTTGTATAAAATTTATTATTTCTTTATGCATTGAAATAAATGAGAAAAAAAATAAACATAATATAAATAATAATGAAATAAAAAAAATGATAACATAATAAAATAGGAATTCTGTGATAAAGAAAAAAAAAATAGGAATAAACATATGCAGAAAAGAAGTATATTATAACGGAAAACTTTTCTTTTCAAATTTATTTATACTTATATTTCCTTGGAATCAAATTGAAAGTCAATTTCCAAAGATTGATGTTTAATATGCATTTAAAATGAAATTAATTTAATAATAGATGAAATGTGTGATTTTAAAAATGATTTTATTTGCTTTGGCATAATAATTTGATATATTTGTATCATTTCAATAATTACTAAAATATTTTAATCCAAAATTTTCCTTTTATTTTGATATATTTTTGTACAAATATTTTCTTATAATGTTTTTTATAATATATATATATATATAAAGAAAATACCAAAGGGAATAAATATTTAGAACATATTTATTGGAGGAAATTATTGAAAAATATTTTTATCCAAATTTTTTCTTTTATTTTGATATATTTGTGTATATATATTTGCTTATAATGTTTTTTTATAATAATATAAATAAAAGATAATAATATAAAAGGAAGAAGTTCTACAATAACTTCTTTTCCTTCAAAACTCCTCCAATTCCCTCTAAAATTTTAATAATTATTTTCGATAGTTATTTAATATTAAAATACATTTTTGATATATTTGTATCCAAAATTGAAATGTTTAATATGTATTTAAATTGAAACCAATTTAATAATTGATAAAATGTGTGATTTTAAAATAATTTTATTTGCCTTAGTATAATAATTTGATATATTTGTATCATTTCAATAATTATTAAATATTATTATATAAAAATTTTCTTTCATTTTGGTATATTTGTGCACACATGTATATATATATATATATATATATTTAGGAAGGAGATATTGGAGAAAATATATTCAGAACATATTGATTGTAAGAAATTATTGAAAAATGTTTTTATCCAAATTTTTTCTTTTATTTTGATTTTTTTTTACATGTATTTGCTTATAATGTTTTTAATAATAGTATATGTAAAACTATTTAACAAGGATTAATTGGAGGAAATAAATATTTAGAACATATTTATTGGAGGAAATTATTGAAAGAAAGTTTTATATGTGCAAAATGTAATAGTTAATAAGTATTTTTATTTTTATAATAGTATTTATATGAAAAAGTTTTAGAGAGAATTGGAACATTTTTGGAACGAAAGAAGTTATTGTAGAACTTCTTCCCTTTATATTATTAATATATGTGACTAACAATAATACAATATTAGCAATCAGACTTGATATTTCTTGAATAATAGAGATTAAAATAAAATCTTCTAAAATAAGATATAATAAATTGAAACAATAACATTAGGCACTAAATTAAAAAAAGAAAAAAAAATAGAGATCAAAATTAAAGGGAAAAAATTAAAAAGGTTCAAAATGAAAATGATCATATATTTTAGAAAAGGGTAAAATACCATTTTGATTCTCAAAGGTATAACTTGTTGTCACTTTAGTCTTTGAAAGAATTAAAATTCAAAAAAGTTCCTTAAAGTGTAAATTATTTTTCATGTTAAACTTTACATTTTTGCCTACATGGCATGTTATTTTCCAACATGGTAGTTAACAATGCACACGTGGCAAACATGGGTGGAAGCCACGTGACATGGCATGTACAAATGAGTGACCTATGATAGTCCAATCAACTAATATAAAATGAAAGCTGACTTTTTTACTTTGTTAGGACCTCTAATGCTAGTGTGTACGTCATGCAATTTAGTGTTTGAACTTAACCATTTAATGTCATTTTGATCCCTAAAAGTACATTTGAATTATCAATAAAGTCTCATGTTGCATGTAGATTATTAATATTGACATCATCATCTTCTGCTTGACTTTCATTCTTTATCCCTCATTTTTTTCACCTTCCTCTCGCATACTTTGTAGTTCTTCTTAACTTCCACCTCTATTATTGGTATATTAAGTCTATTATTTAAAATTTTAACACACATAGAGTCAAAAGCATAAGTTATGACTTGCATTTGACTCTGTGATTTAAAATTTTAAATTATAGACTTAGTATGCAAATAATGGAGGTGGAGGCGAAGAACAACTACAAATCATGTAAGAAAAAGGTGAAGAAAATGAGGGATAAAAAGTGAAAATAAAGGAAATGTTGATGTCAATGCTAATAATTTACATGTCACATGAGACTTTATTGATAATGCAAATATACTTTCAAGAACCAAAATAATAGTAAGTGATTAAGTTTGAGGATTAAATTGAATTTGACAAGTGTTGACGTCACAAGTCCTAACAAAGTAAAAAAAAAAAGTCAACTTTCATTTTAGTCCAGCTGACTAGACCGTCATGTGTCAACCATTCATGCATACCACATGTCACTCCTCCATACATGAAATGTGTACCCACGTGTGCCACAAGTCACTTGCCCATACGTGACACGTGTCCATTGTCAGCTATCACATTGGCAGATAACGTGCCATGTAGGCACAATTGTTAACTTCAACAAAACTCTATCAATGGTAGAACTAAATTGAGAAGTAGATTACACTTTTCAGGAACTTTTGTTGAATTTTAATTCTTTTAGGGACCAAGCCGATAGCGAGTTACTCATGTGTGTGTGTGAAAATTTAGAGATGTTAAAGTGGATCACTCGACCCAACTCAATGCACAAGTTGAGTAATAAGTGGGTCAACCTAACACATCTTACCTTTTTGTGAGCCTAAAAAAAATCAATTCAACTTGACTCACCACAAGTTGGTAAATTAAACGTGTTGACTCATTTTAACTAAAAAAACAAACTTATTAAATTTTATAAAAAGAATACCTCTAATAGTTTTATATCTTGAAATTACAACTATGTTAACAATAAGACAAAAAAAATTGTCAAAAAATTAGGCATTAACTACACTCAACTTAATCAATTTATAATATATTAATATCAAATAA